CCCTCGCGCCGGGGTGCTGCCAGCTCTCGGGTGCTCTGCCCTCCCCTGCCCGCTTTGGAGGGGGCAGCCGTGTCCTAAGGGAATGGCTGTTTTGGGGGTGATGTGCTTGAGGCAGAATGAGCCTTCAAGGGGGAACAGGATGGGGCTCCGAAATATCATCGCTCTTCCCAAATGATTGTAGTGGGCAGCCTGGTTCACCCGCCGGGACGATACCCGGGGACCTGGGGAAGTTTCCCAACCTAAAAGCGCTGCGCTGGGGAAGCGGCGCTCTGTCCCAGTGAGCGGGGAGGGGGCTCAGCGCCTGCTCCAGCTTTGGTGGCTTGCAGAAGGCTAAGCCCGGACGCGCTCCAGCCCTGCAGTTTTGTTAAAGCCCCGTTTTGCTGCTGGCTGCTAAAACTGCAGAAGTTTTGCTTGCAGGAAACGAAACTTCAGTCTGCTGTGAGAGCACAAACGCACCCATAGCTCTGGCCGTTGAACCTCATCTCCGGGGTCTGTGGGTTTGGTTTTAGTTTTATTTTTTTTTAATTTGCCTTTTTTTTTTTCTTTTGTCATCCTTTAGCTGTGCTACATTTTGGGTCTGGACTCCCCTCCCCAGTGTGGGGTCAGGCTACAGGGAAAGCAGGTTTCTTACAGTCTCGGCTGGGTTGCGGGAAGGGCCCCGGGCCCCGGCGGCGGCGGGGTCAGCTTATCGTACAGCCGCCCTTCTCCTTGAACGGGTTCTTGTCCTCGGGGACACCTTTCAACAGCGGGTCCTCTCCCGCCATGGACTCGATGTATTCCTTGAGCTCTTTGCCAGTCTTGGAGATCTGCCGAGCAGAAGCTCCCCGTAGGTTACAGGGACAAAACGTCACCGCAGAACAGCGATCCGACTCGTGGGCTGAGCAGATCCCCGTTCGCGCAACAGGCAGGAGTGCGACCCTACAGCCGCCTGTCGTCGCTCCCGTGCCACCCAGCGCGGGGTGCGGGTACCCCCGCAGCACCCTTGGGGAGCCCTGAGAACACCTGACCCGGTGGCCCAGTGCGACCGAGTCCTTCTCGTAGGATCGCCCCAGCTTCTCGGAAGCGCTCGCCGGAAGAGCTCGCTCGTGCCGAACTCCTCCGTTGGCAAACCCGCAGCCCCGGGGGGAACTTGGGTGGAAATGCTTACCATTTGCCTCTCATTCTTCACCTCCTTTTTCAGCTGATCAAGTTCCATCTTCAGCAGCTCCTTCTCTGTCATATCCTGAGCCATTTTGCCCTGCGATGGCAGAGAAACGGCCTGTTATTAGCTTACAGACGAGCTTCTCGGGTCCAGGCACGCCGGACCCGTCACTTTGGCCCTAACCATATCGCCGCCTCTGTTAATGGCCCAGCTACGAGACGGGTAGACCCTGAGTAAATGGGTTGAAGCTAAAAGAGAGGGAGGGTGCACTTTTCGCACCACTTATTGTAACATCTGTAGAGATGGAACAACCCAGAGTCCTTCCACTAGCTCGTAGCAAGCACATAGATGTGTTGCTTGCACCTGGCATTTGTAAGAAATACATGTACTTCGGGAATTCAATAAATAAAACCGTCGCAGATGAGGAGAAAGACTTTCTAGCTAAAGCCAAGTTTGGAAAAGGATGGGACCCTCCAAGGTAAATACCATGGACTACATCCCTGCGTTGCTGTTTGCAACGCAGCGCTTGCTGCGGGAGGAGGTTTCGGGGCTTCGCGCGCTCTTTGCAGAGACCCTGCCCACGGGCTGCGCGGCATCCCCGGGGCAGCCACCCTGCGCGGTGGAAGAACCGGTCCCGCGTCAAAAGTTAAAGCGGGGTTTGAAAGCCGCGATTTGCAGAGACCCTGCCCACGGGCTGCGCGAGATCCCCGGGGCAGCCGCCCTGCGCGGTGGAAGAACCGGTCCCGCGTCAAAAGTTAAAGCGGGGTTTGAAAGCCGCGATCTTTTCGAGAGCAACGCGGCTGTGATGCCT